TTTACCCCCATTCCCCACAGTTTCCCGTTTTACCCTCATTCCCCTCAACTTCCTTTTTTACCCCCATTCCCCACAGGTTCACCTTTACCCTCATTCTCCGTAGCCACCCTGTGACCCTCCCCGCATGACACCCCCTTCCCACAGTTTCCCTTTTTACTCCCATACCACACAGCTTCCTTCTGATCCTCTCAGTCACGCAGCCTCTCATTACCCCCAAATCCCATTGCTAATTCCCTTGCTAAATATTAACGTAGGCTTTTGTGTGCGCTTCAGTCGATGATGAAAATATGGTAAATCTGTGACCAGAGTGGGGTTGCTGAGGAAGACAAACATTGTTCAGTTGATTTCGGAAGACAATATCAGCCTCGTGTGAAGTTCCAAGGTTGCTAACTATTAACCCTTCGCCTCATATTTCCCACTCCCACTCCCACCTAGGAGTAGAAATCAGCCTGGGCTGTTGCTAGTTCTAGAAAGTGCACATGTATTTTGCTTATCTGGACTGATGTGTGCATAAATGAAATGTCTGAATGTGTGTGAGTGAGAGCACTGTGCATGAGCATTGTGTCTGAAGATGGTGTATAAGGCAGTCATCCTTCCAACTCTTCTATTCAATTTCGAAACTTGGACAGATGCCACCTCAAGACCCTTGAGAAATACTGTTAACCCTGTTTGACATGGATTCTCCACATCAGCTGGGAGGACAGGCATACTAACATCAGCATCTGTGAAACGGCTAATGGCACCAGCATCGAGGCCAGGATCATCCGAAATCAACACTGCTGGGCCAGCATTATAGAGTCACGCAGTATGGAAACAGACCCTTCAGTCCAACCAGTCCGTGCTGTTCCAGCTTCAAATCTATTGATTCATGCTGAACATAATCCCAAACAAAACTAGACCCACCTGTGTGCTCCTGGCTGACATCCCTCCAAATGTTTCCTGTTCATGTACTTATCCAAATGTCTTAAACGTTGTAATTGTGTCCACATCTACCATTTTCTCAGGGAGTTCATTCCACATGCAAACCACCCTTTGTAAAAGAATTGCCCCTCATGTAATTTTTAAGCCTTTCTCTTCTCACCTTAAAAATGTGACCCCTCGTCTTGAAATCCCCCATCCTAGGAAAAAAACAACTACCATTAACTCAATCTATACCCCTCATTATTTTATAAACGTCTATAAGGTTGCTTGTCAACCTCCTACACGCCAGTCGGAAAAGTTCCAGCCTATCCAACCTTTCTTTATAACCCAAACCTTCCATATTTGGCAACATACTCGTAAATCTCCTCTGAAACCTGTCCAGCTTGATAATATCCTTACTATAACTGGGTGACCAGAACTGGACACATTATTCCAGAAGAGGCCTCACCAATGTCCTGCAACCTCTACATGACTTCCTAATTCCTATACTCAAAGGACTGAGCAATGAAGGCAAGCGTGCCAAACGCCTTTTTAACCACCCTGTCTATATGTGATGCAAACTTCAAAGAATTATGTACCTGCACCCCTAGGTCCCTCTTCTACAACACTACCCAAGGTCCTATTATTAATTGTATAAGTCCTATCCTTGTTTTTTTGTACCAAAAGATAATACCTCGCGTTTATCCAGATTGATCTTCATCTGCCATTTTTCAGCTCATTGACCCATTTGATCAAGATCCCTTTGTAATCTTCGAAAGCCTTCTTCACTGTCTACTGTGCCACCAATTTTGGTGTTGTCTGCAAACTTACTAACCGTGCCTTCTATATTCTCATCCAAGTCATTTATATAAATGACAAACAAAGAGGACCCAGAACCAATCCCTGTGGAACGTCACTGGTGATGTCTGAGTACCAAAGCAAATTGTCTTCACCTAGCTCAAGGAAGGCGTATAAATGAAAGAAGGATAAAGGAAGCATTTCAAAGACTTCCTGAAGGCTTCTGTCAAGAAATGCAATACAGATGTCAATGCATAGGAGACCCACGTTCAGAAGAAACCAACCTGGAGGAAACTCCTGTATGAAGGAACGATTATTCAAGAACAACCGTTGGCAAGATGAAGTATGGAAAAGGAAACAGAAAGGAATGCCAATGATTCCAAGACCACTTTCACCTCCCAAAAGCACTTGCCAAATGTGTGGTTGGAGATGCAGCTCTAGGATCAGGTCCGTCAGCCACACAAGGGCTCTCTGAACCCATGGCTAGTGACAAGGAATTTCCTTGGTGGACAATCATATCATTAGCAAGTGATTGTCGACAGTGACGTGTGGGAGTCTGAACTGCAATTGTGCATGGAAACATATCTTCCTGTGTGCATATGCTTGTGAATATATCTATATGTACTGTACAAAGAGTTGGATTTATCTGAAGTGCCATTGTGACGTGAATTAAGCTGCGTAACAAATGCTGCTGCAGCAGAAGAACGCTTGTAGCCTGTTCCCATAGATCAATTGCAGTGAATGCATCTAACATACTTGATGACAGCACCTGGTGTGCTGCATCGGGGAATAAAAAATTCTGATGAAGGATCGCTGGATCCGAAGCGTTAACTCTGATTTTTTCGTTCACGGATGCTGCCAGACCCGCTGAGCTTTTCCAGCAACTTTGTTTTTGTTCCTGATTTACAGCATCTGCAGTTCTTTCGGTTTTTAAAAAATTACCATTGATTGATGAACCACCTTGCATGGCTCAGCAATCGAAGATTAGTATCCAGCTTATCACTAAGAGAGCTGTAACAAAAGTGTACTTGTATAGAATTACCTAATTCACAGTGTTGCTGAAAAAGAAATTTTGTTTACAAACCAACTGAGATACATGGGAAATGCACAACATTTAAAGTGAAGCATATGTTTGCTTACAGTATTGGACTGTTGGGAGAATTTGTGTTTATATTAAAATACTTTAGTGAACACAAATACGTGAGGAATAGCCCTCCTTATCTCCCCTCTTTTGCCTGTTAACCAAAAACTGCACCTTCTGGCGGCTGAACCCCTTGCTTTGGAAGCTGTTATCCTATCCTTATTTATCCTATCATTTAGAAGATCAGTCATTGTTGTGTGGTAATGCAGCAGCCAATTTATGTGCAGTATGTTGTTTCCACAGAATGAGATAATGACCATTGAAGTTGCTTTTAGTTGTGCTGTTTGGAGGATAAATATCAGGCAGGATGCTGCGAATACTGTGTACTAATTTAAATATTGCTACGTCATCTCATACATCTTCCTTAGAGGGCAGATGGGAGCTCAATATATTACAGCATCATCAGTTTAAATTACATCTTCTCTGAGGCTTATGTTTATGTTTGGCTTGGGCTACATAGACGCGCATGGGAATTCCTAGAGGCACGGTTCTCCACCCATACTTCAATCAACAAACATATAGAATTGGACCCTACATACAAACCCATACAGATCAAAACCGGAAATGACAGTACACACCATAACGGACCAGACATTATAAATCCCAAGCGGAGAAGAATAACATCGATTCTTCGGAGGCTCCACTGATGATGTCACCTAGCATTGTGACGAAATGTCTGAAGGAAAACAAGCCAGCTCGGTGCGCAAGTCAGTAAACCTCACCCACAACCTGAGCTGCAGATCTTTGCCAAAACTTTACATCTTCTCTTCCAAGAATGGGGCTTTGGACCCATATCCTTCTGACTCCGTCAAGAATTCTAGCAACTGAGCCACGAATGAAACATTTAAGCTTTGTTTACTTTTTCTGCACTAGTCCGTACTGGTCTGTCACTGTGTAACACTCAGGGTATAATGCTCTTGGGGGACATATTTGTTCCTATATAAAACTGTGGAACAGTACTTCAGTAGACAGATCTGTCACTATACATGGGTACAGTATTGGTGGGTAGGTACAGGTCTGTCGCTGTATAACATGGCTACAGTACTAGTGAGGATATGTCTGTTGCTAGATGCAGGTCTGTTATAACTCTAGGGTACAGTATTGGTGTGAACCTGTTGCACCCAGATTTTGAAAAATTATTACATGCAGAAGTACGAATACTACCATATCATAACTATACCTCAAACTGTGGCCCATTTGATTAGAATACCTTATACCTGACTGCATAATTGTTGGATACTTTCCCAGTTTGACTATAAAAAACATGTGTAAACTTCATGCATTGGTTGGGAAATCGAGCCCTGAGCTTGATCACCATTCAGGGACTCCTGTTGGATCGTGTGTGGGTGGTCAGCTTTGATTAGTTCCAGTTGGCATTCACTGGCACTAGGAGTCAGGTAATCTGCTGCAGTCACCATTTTCTGTACATTGGAACAGATGATGTGGAAACAAATTTTTTTCTTTGTGGGTTTTCATCATGTTTGACATGTAGCGGGAGAGATGTGAAGGGTTGTGATGTGTAGTTTCTTCTGGATATTTATTCTGTGCTTTGTTTCCCCCAGGCATCCAGGCAAGCATCTGGCATTCCAGGGATGGCTCCTACAGAGGAGAAGTAAGTCAGCCTTTGCTCTACTGGTCTGAAATTTTGTTAACAAGAAGGAAAAGACAATCTTGCATTTATACAGAGCCTTTCATGACTTCAGAATGCCCTAAAGGACTTTTGCAGTTAACAAAGCTCATTTAAAGTACTACATGACAGCCAATTGGTGCATAGCAAGGTCCCAGAAATTGCAGTGAGAAATAATGGCATTCACTGAGGGATAAATATTCACTGGATCATGATATGCAATGTACTGTGGAGATTATAGGATTATGATTGTCACTGACAAGGCCAACATTTATTGCCTGTGCTTCATTGAGCAGGTCACATTGAACTGCTGCAGTCCATTAGATGTTGGTACACCAATGATGCTGATAGGACCGTAGGAATTAGGAACAGGAGTAGGCAATTCAGCACTTTGAGCCCACTCTACCATTTAACATGATCATGGCAGATCTGATCATGGTCTCAACTCCACTTTCCTGCCTGCTTCCTCGACAGCTACAGGATCTTTATCTAGAGACAGTGCTCCAAGTCAGGGTCGTGAGAGATTTGGAAGGAACTTGCAAGTGTTGGTGTTCACTTGCTTCTGCTGTCCTTTACTTTCTGGGTGGTGGAGGTCATTGATTTGCAAGATCCTGTTAGACAAGCCTTCTGAAGTTCCTGCATTGCATCTTGTAGACAATACACATTGCAGCTTCTGAGTGCCAGAGCAGGAGGGAATTAATACGTAATGTGACCTTTTTCCTCAATTCCATCTTAAATGGATGACCCATTATTTTTAAACAGTGACTTCTAGTTCTAGATTCTCTCACCAGAGAAAACATCCTTTTCTTATTCACCCTGTCAAGACCCTTCAGAATCTTATTGATTCAATCAAGATACTGCTTACTCTTCTAAACTCCAGCTGATACAAGCCTAATCTTACCAACCTTTATTTTCATGATAGCGCAACCACTCCAGTTACTAGTCTAGTAAACCTATGAGTTACTTCCAACGCATGTAATTCTTTCCTTAAATAAGAGAATAAATACTGTACATAATACTCCAGATGTGGTCTCACCAATACCCTGTATAACTGAGCCATAACCTTTCTATTGTTGTATTGAATTCGTTTTGCAGTAATCTATAACATTCTATTAGTTTTTGTAGTAACTTGTTATTCTTGCATACTAACCTTTTGGTGATTCTGCATTCTCTCACCAAGTAGATTTGTAAAAAATTTATTTCTGCCAAAGTGAACAGCTTCACATTTTCCTACATTATACACCATTAGCCAGCTCTTTGCCCAGTCACTTAATCTATCTTAAAAGCCTGTCCTTTGTAGCTTACCTATGTCCTCTTCACAACCTAGTTTCCTACTTAGCTTTGTGTAGTCAGTAAATTTAGTAATCATACCTTTCTTCTAAGTGATTTATAAAAATTGTAAAAAGTGAAGGTCTCAGCACTGATCTTGTGGTATGCCACTTGTTAACTCTTGCCTGTCAGTAAATGACCCATTTTTTGACTACTCCCTGTTTCCTGTCTAAAATAGGACATTTCCATCACCCCAGGAATCAATTTCTGGTCAAAGATGTTCTTGTGCCCATCCGTAGGCCTCAGCTACTGCCTCCCATATTACCCTCTTTTTGGTTTGAGTGTGTCTCATCATTCTTCCAGCTTCATCTTTTAATAGAAACAATATGTTTTTACTCCCTAGGGATGGAAATCTTCCAGACATTGTGAGCACAGGGAGCCTTCATCAATTTCTAGTCAATCTTCATGAAAAGTATGGACCACTGGCATCTTTCTGGTTTGGACAGCGACTGGTGGTCAGTTTGGGCTCCGTAGACCTCCTGAAGGAACACATCAACCCAAACCGAACCTGTAAGTGCAATTGGGGTTTTATGCACTGAGTAGACCAATTATCATGCAACAGCGAATCCTACAGCAAAAGTAGGAAACCTGTCAACATTTAAATTGTGTATCAGTTGAGTGCTAAATACCCAAGGCTGAGTTATAGGCCACAATCGAATGGAGATTTTTGGTGGGTTTATGTTTAGAATAAAATCCACAGGAGTGAGTTACAAATTGATGTTTAATCATAGGGTTTGGGTGATTTGTAAAACTGTACATGCTTCCATAGAGTGCTTGTATAATGGGGGAACAATACCCAAACCAGGGGCGCTGAAGCCAATCATAATAGCCCAACTGCTGTCCTGGGAGCTCAATATTACACCACAGATTGGGGGTCAAACTATTATTCATACTATGCAATACTGAACAACTTAAGCAAAATGTTGGTTTTATAACTCAGGTCATTTTCTTTTAAATTTCACCAATTTTTTTCTTTTCCCATCTAGCTGATCCATTTGAGACAATGCTGAAATCCTTATTGGGATATCAGTCTGGATTTGGAGGCAATGCCGCTGAGGATCATGTGAGGAAGAAAGTTTATGAGACGGGAGTGAACAAAGCCATCCAGAGCAACTTTGCTGTCATGTCGAAGGTAACTGGATTTTTGTTGCATTTAAATTGTCTTGCTGACCTTTTCAAGTTCTGCCAGTCTCTATTTTGTTAAGTGATGTTTTCCACTGTTCTCCTTTCTTGAAAACATTGCATTACAACAAGCTGCATTTCCTTGTCCTTCTAGATGTCTCTACCTTTCACATGACTGACTTCACCATTCTCCTCCAATGCCTCTCATCCATTTGCATGGGACTGCTGTTGGCTGGGTTCATTTTTATATATCTGATTGTAGTCAGAGTATCATTGCAATGACTTCTCTTCACATGCCTGCAGGGATGTACCCTTATGCCTTACAAGCCTTCAAGATCCCTGCACTCTAATTCTGGAATCCATGTGTCCCTGACTTTAAATACTCCACCATTAGCATTGATGCCTTCAGCAGCTTGGATCCTAAGCTATGGAATTTCCTCCCTAAATCTTTTTGCCTTTCTCTCCTCCTTTAGGATTTTCCTTAGAATTTATCTCTTTGACCAAGCTTTTGAGAAACTGACCTGATATCTCTTCGGGGGCTTGGTGCCAATTTCCTTTTGTTAAATGCATTTGAATGTTTCACTACATTAAAAAGGTTTCATCCAGAAGACAGAGTGGAGGGCAGCAGAGAGAAAAGTTGAGTTAGACATAATTGAATGACAGATGAGCTGCAGTAGATGTGTAAGCATAATGTAAGATGGCGACCATGATATACCATGGCAGCAGATCTACTGGTAGGAGCAGCTATGATCAACAGCAGCAGTGTGAATGAAAATTGCTGTTGTCTATTAGATTGGTGGTTTAAGGAAAATTGAATAAAGGGGTTTGAGAGAAGGAAGGACGAATAGACCATTTGAGTCAAACAAACCATTTTGTAAGAGACAAACGTTTCTCAAAAAGTTAGCAAAGATATACCCGGTGCTGTCCAGATGAATTACTGACAGAAGTTTAATATCGTTCAGATGGCCAATTGACCTATTGACCCCAGGAGACCACCACCTTGCATTTGTATGAGCTGGAATAGGTGTCAAATGAGGTTTTATGAGAGCATCACAGAAACCTGTGATCAAGACTCCTTGCAATAACTCTGTAAATCATACTGGAACTGAGACAGTATCGTCAACCCCCTAGGTTCTGATTTGCAAGTTAAAGCACAAATTCAGAAGGAATACAGATTTCTATCCAAACTGTTACATTTCGTCTTGTTCCATTCGCCTCACTTTTTACAACAAGTCTCCTGTGAGGCATTTCATTGGATGCCTTGTGAAAATTCATATGCTCCCACAACTATTCCATTCCCTGAATCTAACCAGCTAGGGGATACTTAAGTAAATATTTGTTAAATTTGTCAAACATGGTTTACCTTTAATCAGTCTGTTCTGATTGCTCTTGATTAACTTGAATTTCTAAATAGTCACCAAGTTTATCTTGAATCAAGTATCGTAAATATTTCTTCAGAACTCAGTTAGACTTTCTGTAGTCACTCAGTCTGTAATGACAAGGTTTATCCTATTCTTCCTCCATAATCATGAGTCTTGCATCAACTGCTCTCCACTCCCAAGGTGCAGTTTGTATATTAAAAGTGAATTGCAAAATTTTATGGCTTGATCGTCTTTGCAAAAATTTTACTTCAGATAACCATGTGATAGTTCTCCACATTGTATTCGGCAGCTGTGCAGTGACGTGCACCAGGCTGCTCATTTTGAAATATCAGCATGTCCCTCGGGTGTCAGAAGATTGACACACCATCTGGGAATGCTATTTTAAAAATGTGCCTGTGCCTGTGCCTGTGCCTGGCCTTATCCCTACAGGCAATTGAAAATCAAACCCTGTATTCTCAAAGCGGTTGTTGAGTATTGTTCAGATAAACTTTGATCACACATCTCCGTTTTATGTTCCAGTTTAGTATTGATCTCTGTGTTCCAGCGAGTTTCTAAGATTCATCCTATTTTATATTCACACTTATGTTAAAATTTATCTAATTCCCCAGAGTTGTTCCATCTCCTGCCTGGTAGCTGAGCAGGTATCTGAGAGTGGGACAGGCTGACTTTATGTGATGGAATAGTTGGTATTTGAGTGTAACTAGTAAATGGTAACTTCTTGACGTTTGCTGTCTCACTGTTGGAAACTCTCAAGCCCTTCCTCTGACACATTGAAATTAAAAACAGCTGAGAATCTGAGCACATGATCCTGCTCTTTGACAAATAACCACTCTTTCCCTCCAAGATTGAAATGAATAAACAAGCGAGTATACTGAATGGAAAGTGTCACTGCACGTGCCGTTCACAGTCTGACAGAGTTCTATTTATTGTTGAATCATGTCAGGCTTCACAGTTTATGGCAAGTTTTAAACTGAAATTTGCTCGCCCCCCCCCCCACCTTCCTGAAAATCCTGGGGATTGATTTCAAAGCCCTCATTACCTCTTCCAAAGATGATGAGTTAGCCAAGACACAGTGATTGCTGGCTGAGGATTGGTGTGGGGCAGCTGCTGTAGATTTCAATCCTTTATATTTCCAACTGTTTGCTATGTTTAATTTCAATGAAGCATAGATAGTTGTGCAGCTTTCATTAAAACATGTCAAATGAATAGCTAATATCAGTGAACTGTATTTCCTAGACCATAAGAATTAACTACAATACACCATACGTCAGCTGTTTAAGTAAAGTTGGTGCTGATTTAACAATATTCTTGTCGGCATTATGTGTAAATGTCAAGTCTTCAAGAGGGCAGTTACAAAGTTCTCTCTCCACTTTTACTTTGAACGATCCTAGGGCAGAAACAAGGCAGATTACAGACTTTGTATCCCTCCTTCTACATGGGCCTCTCTCTCACTCCCAGAGTTGGCGCAGCATGAATTTAAAAAAAAGAGTAATGTCCCAGTGTATTATCCCATCAAACACTGGCAGAGTAATTACAGCATGAGTTAATTATAACATAAAAGGGCCTTTGCACTGACAGCTCAGTCAGTGTACATGCTGAAAATCTGACATTTTACCACTTTCCATGCCGAGTTAGTTTTTATCAGACCATTATCTTTAGGGGCAGGATATATTGCCAGGCATCAAGCAGCCGATTGTGATTTCTCCTGATATTTTTCTTTCTCTTCTCCGTTAGCTGGCTGATGAGCTGGTAACAAAGTGGCTGTCATATCCTGAAGCTCAACATGTCCCTCTGTGCCAGCACATGTTGGGTTTTGCCATGAAGTCTGTTACACAGGCAGCAATGGGCAGTCACTTTGAAAATGATCAGGAAGTAATCCGCTTCCGAAAGAACCATGAATCGGTGAGTATTTTGGAGTGAGTTACAGATTTGAACAACTGCACTCAGTTTGTTGGGGGGGATGTTAATTTTCATTGATGCTACTGTTCTCGCCCTGCAAATGAATTGAATGAACAGTCTCCTTCAATTGAATAAAGTGCAACTGCTACAGAGGAAGCAGGCTTTTCCCTGATATCTAAGTGGGTATGGATCTAACCCAAACAGACTAGGACCGTTGCTCGTTTATACACTTGTCTGTATACAATATGATGCTGTTCAGCAAACTTTGCTGATATTTACTCTTAACTATCCTGGTTTGAAGCCCTAACACTCCAGTTTAAATGAATTAAAAGTTTAGTTAGGACAAGCTAGTCAATAAGATCACTGCAGTGATGTGGAGGAAGGCAGGGATATCTGTTTCCAAGTATCCTTTTAAAGAAGTTTCCCTCACCATAATGTAGCGGTTTTCGTACATTTGTATTTCAGTGCTTTAATCACTTTCACACATTGCAAAGAACCTCTGCAAATGAGGCACTCCAGAAACTGTTAGGAACTATCGACACAATCCAGAGATTCTTTCTAAATATTGATGTGCTCCAGGGACTCTCTGTGAATGTCAACACACTCCAGAGGACCTCTGTATAGATAACAACACACTCCAGGGGGATTTGGTACAATCCCAGGAATCCCTATGCCAATATAGTTACAATTTTCAACACTTCCTGATTATTATCACCAGACAAGCAGAGAATGCTGGTATTTGCTAATTTGTGGAAGTGCGTGCTACCCTCCCCAGTATTCTTGAGAAGTGAATCAGTTTCCTGGGCATTCTTGAGAAGTGTACCAGGCCCTCTTATAATCTGATACGTGTGCTAGTAACCCCAATAATAAGATGGAAGAGCTGCAGGTGGCCATTCAAGCCATTGAGATTGCTCATCCATTCAATGAATTTATGGCTAATCTGATAATCCTCAACTCCATTTACCTGCCTTTTCCCCATAACTCTTGTTTCCCTCCCTTACTGATTAAAAATCTCTTTGTCTTGAGTATACTTAATGATTCAGCCTCCACATCTCAAACAGTACAGAATTCCACAGATTCCCTAAACTCAAGAAATTTCCCCTCATCTATCTCAACCGCTTAACCCCTTACTCTAAGGTAATGCCCTCTGGACCTAGACTGTCCCACAAGGGGAAACAGCCTCTCCTCATCAACTCTGTCAAGTCCCCTAAGAATCTTAGTAATCAGAGATGTGTGACAGTACCTCTGGTAATCTGAATTATGTGCCATTTCCCGGGAAACCTGACATGTGTGCCAGTTTCTCTGGTATCCTGAGATAATTTGTGTTTGTTTTCAGATTTGGTCAGAGATTGGAAAAGGGTTTTTGGATGGATCTCTTGATAAAAGCTCTTCCAGAAAGCAGCATTACGAAGAGGGTAATTTAGCACTGTTTTATGCTTGTGACAATGTTTTTTTAATGTGAGGTTGTACTGGTGATCAATGAAACATAAGGTAGAGCTCTTCTATCTCCAGGTCCCACCCTTTGGTTGCTGACGTGTGCATGTGCAGGAATGGCGTTATGTGTGCGTGTGTGCATGTCCTCTCACCGGAGGAATATAAATTATGTTAATTTAAAAAGTCTGGAGTGAAATACTGATTGCTGTAAAAACCCATCTGATTCACTCAAGTCCTTTATGGAAGGAAATCTGCCATCCTTACCATCCTGGCCTTAATGACTTTGAATCACAGCTATGTGGTTGACTCTTAACTACCCTCTGAATTGGACGAGCAGCAAACCACCCAGTTGTTAACAAGGTGACTCACCACTACCTTCAAGTAGGGAGTGAGCATAAATGCAGACCTTGCCGTGCTAGCCCCATACAAAGAATAACTTGGGAAAAAAACACCATCAAGTCTCTTGATAAGTTTACACTTTTCAATGAGATCTAACCTTTAAGTCTGGACCTAGATCAGTCAATCTCTCATCATTTGAACAATCTCATCATTCTGGGAATCAGTGTAGTGAATCTTTGTTGTTATCCCTCTGAAGCAAGCACAGAGATTGGCTTTCTGAACAAAAAACACTTCGGCTAATGGGTTTTCTTGAAGGCAAAAGGATAAAGTGTAGAAAAGTCCAGAATCTATTGCTGTGATATTCTGGTACATTTGGTCAAGTCACTAATCAAGTTGTCTCTGAAATTTTGCAGAACTGCCAGCTCAGGAATTCTGCCTTGAGATATTTCTTTAACCGCTCTTTCAAAAAAATAACTGGACTAACTCTGAATTCAAAAAGAGGGTTTTCTTTTCAGAAATGAGATTGAACAGCTGGTTAACTTGTTCTTAGCAAGTTGTTGTTAATATGCTTTCTGTCAAATAGTAGGCTCTCCTCTAATTCAACCAGATAATGACAGAACCTCTCCAATCCAGTCACAGTCCCAGCTGGGCTAGAGCAAAACAACAGTTATCAGCAGTCATGTGATTTATGGGAAATCTTATTAAACAAGTCTCCAATGTTTGCAGTGAGCGTTCAGTTACCTCTTTTTAAACAAAACACTTCTGGTCTGTCCACAAAACTTGAAGTGAATTCATTTTCCACAATTCTTCAAAACCTAAGTCTTCCAAGCAATAATACAATATAAAGCATTCTGCAGCGTTTTTGTACAGCAGTAGAACCTCTATTTCAGAACAGTATAGAGAACAGGAAGCTAGAATGTGGTGAAAGAGTAGCTCTGCTAATTAAGGATGGCACCAGTACATTAAAAAGAGAAGACCTTAGTTTTAAATATCAGGATGTAGAATCCATTTAGGTAGAGATAAGAAAAAAATGAAGGGAGAAACTCACATGGGGTAAGTTTATAGATCCCTTATCAGTAACCACTCAGTTGGATACATGTACAGGAGAAAATAATAGGAACTTATTGGGAAGATACAATGATAATCATGGGTGACTTTGATCTCTAAATAGATTGGCAAATCAGATCAACATGGAAGACAAGTTCATGAACCTGTGTCTCCTCATCCTTTCCTCACAATCTAATTAAACTTTTATTCAATTGACTAAGTTTCTATTCAGATTTGGATGCATTCAAATTATTTTCCAAACTCTCTCTTCTCCTAGCCCTGGGAGAAATGGAAGCTACACTGAAGAAAGTGGCAAGAGAGCGCAAAGGAAAAAGCAATAGTCGTGAAGTGTTCATGGACTCCTTGCTGCAGGGTGACCTCATTGAGAAGCAGGTACAGGTTTCTGGGCAGACTGTGAGAGTGTGTGACTGTAGCTAATTGGGCTGTAAGTATACATGTAACTCAGCAGGCTGTGGCTGTGCTATTCTAGTTGGTCCTGAGGAGAGGAAGTAGGGACAGGATTTCCCTCATCCTTGTATTCAAATCTCTCCATGGCTTCATCTCTCCCTATCTGTAACTTTCCTCAATCCCATAGCCGAGATATTTGTGTTGCTCTGATTGTGGTCTCTTGCTCATTCCCGATTGTAATCACACCATTGGCTGCTACCTCCCTCAAATGGAGTTGTCTGACTTGTCTACCTCTCATTTCTCCTTTAAGATTCTTCTTAAAATCTGCCTCTATGATCAAACCTTTGGTCACCTGCCCCATTAACCACTTTTGAGGTTGATATTAAACTTTGTTTGATAAGTTACTATGTATGAGGTATATAGAGACATCTTACGTTAAAGATACAGGTGGTTGTTGGTATATCTTGACTGAGTGTTTCCACAGTGTGACTGAATGGCTCCATGTTACATCGTTGCAATTGTTTGTTGTATGAAGCACCAACCTGTGTCCATTCCCTTTTGTGGGGTAAGTAATGGGCACAGTTCTACATCCTGTTATTTTCATTGCAGCCTAAATTTCAAGCTTATCTCTTGGGTGATCCAGAAGAAATTGTCATACTGGCAGAGCTTTAGACTACTGTTCTACCACCACTAGCTGCCTGCGTCCCCTAATTTCTCTTAGTTGCTGCCCCAATCCCTGAACCAGTGGTGTCAGTTCTGCCAGCTGAAGCCTTGTTTCTGTGTGAGAATTCTTGTGTGATCTTTAATTATTTTGCCAGGTTCTGGAGGACAGTATGATCTTTTCACTGGCTGGATGTGTGATCACAGCAAATTGTAAGTACAGCTTCATCTAAACACAACAATTGTCAAGCTGCAAGTAGGAAAATCACAATTTGCATGTACAGCACCATTAATTCCAAGGTACTTCACAGTAGTGTAATACAACAACTCCTCTCACAGATAAGCCTATTAATATTTTCCACTCCTTAGTTAGTCTTTATGATGCTCCCTCCCTTAAAGGAAACTGTCACTTAGCATTGGAGCCTGAGTAAACCTGGTTTGTATTACACAGGATACTCTGTACCCGCCCTCACTCACCTCCTTCCTTTTTCATCCCAAGTTCCTTTCCTTCTCTCTACCCCCTCCCCACCACACGCACAAAAACACACACATTCTTTCTCGTCACAAGGCCTCATGATGTTTATTCACAATCTGACTACTTGCATCATCATATGTTGGTGAAAGATTGACACAGCGCAAGAAGACAACAAAAGAAGTGTCCACAGCCGGGCTTAAAGGTTGGATTCAAGCCACATCTTAAAATTGGAAACATTTAGACAGAGAATTGTGGAGTTGAGGCCTGTCCAGATAACCACTCAGCCCCGCTTACTGCTGTGCAGCTATCCTCTTTCCGCCATGTGTCTGTAGTTGTCCTATCTCTGCACTTTACTTCTCAGATAGCCTGTCCTAGCCCATATGCTGTGTAAATAGACACTATCTGAAATAATCACATTTGATCTTCATGTCTCTTTTTCAGTGTGCATTTGGTCCACATACTTTTTGGCTACGTCAAGCTCAGAGCAGGAAAAGCTTTACCAAGAGGTAAATAAAGTTCTGGGAAGGAGCCCACTCACTTTTGATAAGCTGCAAGAACTGAGGTGAGTGACAATTTTTGCAGTTGCCCTGGTTCAGGTGATTTTCCAGCTGTGAAGAGACAGACATTAATAATTGTGGATTGCAGTGCATTGTGGGAGATCTTACTTGGTCCCCACTAATAGGGACATATTCCTGAACCTGAAGCCCAGTTGGAGGTAAAGGCACCATCTAGCTTAATAATACTCCAAACAGACCAAGAATCTTCTTGACCCAGTCTCTCATCCGAGCTGAGGAAGCTAAGCAACTTGGGGTGCATTGCGGGTGTTGAGGACCTCCTTATGCATACATAGGGCCATCCAGCTGTTGACCTCATTACAACCTTGGTTTAAACATGGATGAAAGCCGAATTCCAGAAGTAAGGGGAGAAAGACATCGCTTAACATCAAGGCCATATTCAACCAAGTGTGGCATCAAGGAGCCCTAGCAAAACTCAAATCAATAGGTTTCAGGGGGAAAGGTCTCCGCTGTTTGGAGTCTTACCTGGCACGTAATAAGATGATTTTAGTTGATGGAGGTCAGTCATCTCAGCTCCAGGACATCTCTACAGGAGTCCCTCAGGATGGTGTCCTTGGCCCAACCATCTTCAGCTGCTTCATCAATAACCTTCCCTCCATCATAAGCTTAGAAGTAGGGAAGTTCACTGATGATTGCACAATATTTCAGCATTGCTCATAACTCCTCAGAGACTGAAGTAGCCCATGTTCAAATGCAACAAGATGTGGACAATATCTAGGCTTGGGCTGACAAGTGGCAAGTAACGTTCGCACCAAATAAATGCCAGGCAATAACTGTCTCCAGTAAGAGACAATCTAACCACCACCCCTTGACATTAAATGGTGTTACCATCACTGAATCCCCACTATTCACATGCTTGGGTTTACCGTTGACCAGAAACTCAACTGGACTGGCTATGTAAACACAGTGGTTACAAGAGCAGGTCAGAGGCTAGCACAACTGTGGAGAGTAACTCACTCCCTGCCTCCCCAGTGTGTATTATCTACAAGATGCACTGAAAAAAATCACCACAGATCCTTAGACAGCACTTTATAAACTCAGGACCACAAATATCTAGAAGGACAAGGGCAGCCAATGCATGGGAACACCATTGCTTGCAAGTTCCCCATCAAGCCACTCACTATCCCAACTTGGAAATATATTGCCGTTCCTTCACTATTGCTGGGTCAAAATCTTGGAATTTCCTCCCTTTGGGGATTTGTGTCAACCTGTAGTACACGGATTACAGCAGTTCAATAATACAGCTCACACCACTTTCTCAAGGGCAGCTAGGGACAGGCAATAAATGTCGGCCAGCCAGAGATGCCGGTTATCCACAAGTAAATCATAATGATGCTGATGGGCTGTTTGATGACTGGGACATCATAGTTGACCGCACAATAGGCATGATTTCCAACAGGAGTTAAGAGATAATGATCAGGAGCAGAATCCTTGGCTGACTTCCTAACACTCTATAACCCGATAGCAGGAACCTTGGCTTCCCCTCTCTATCTTGAACCCAGGGATCATTGAATAGTGATCAGAAGCAGGAACCCCAGGTTAGTTTTCTAACCCCTTTTCTCATCCAGAGATAATCACATAGCAGGCATCAAATCTGGGATCTTCCTGTGTTGAGCTGTTTAAAATTGCAATGGGCAGCCTTCTGACTATGAGATTGATTTACCTCTTATATCATGACGTTTTGTTGTATCTTGTGCATCGTGCTTCCCAATGTCACTCACCATTCCTTGAAACAAGGTAGATAGACCTTTTCCTGACTCAGGGCAGCCTGAAAGTGTCTACCTTAGCTCAGTGGTGTCACTGTTAGCTATGCGTCAAAAACTCATGGGTTCAAGCCTTATCTAGAGACTTTAGCGCACAGTCCACACTAATACACCCAGTATTGTACTGAGGGAGTGTTGTACTGTTGGACGTGACAGGATATGATGTTGAATCAAGCCCCCATTTTCCCTTACAGGTAGATATAAAAGATTCCTTGGCCACTTTTGAAGACAAGCAGGGTATTTATCTGCAGTGTCCAGGTTGATGTTCACCTCTCAAACAAGATACAAAGAATAGGTGATCTGTTCGCCCCCATGTAGTGGCTTGTGGCATCTTGCTGGATGTAAATTGGCTGCCATATTTCCTTCTTTATAACAGTGATCAATTTTTAAAAGTATTTCATTGCTTGTGAAACACAGTGAAAGCAGCTGTATCAATGCAAGTCTTCATTTTTCATTTGGTGCTGCATGCTAATGACTCAGAGGCCTGCAGCAGAAAAGTGTGAGCAGCTGCTGCCAATTCACTGTAGACAACCCACATAGCCCCTCTATTCAGGATCCACAAGATCTCCTGACGCAATGTCATGTGCCTCCTGTAAAACGGCCTCTGAGACCCCATCTCATAATATGCTGCAGTCATGGGGACGTTAATCAATGCTGGCCTCCCCCACCACAGGTACTGCCAGAAGATTCTGAATGAGACTGTCCGAACAGCGAAGCTCACCCCAGTTGCAGCGCGACTTCAGGAGTTGGAAGGGAGTGTCAACCATCACATCATCCCAAAGGAGGTAAGACAGGACAATTAGAATTACAAGTGTCACACTCAGCCTCTTGCTTTTCATATGCTGGTTATCTCTCCTTGTTTGTCGAAGGTGCAGACTTTCATTTGAGGCACATTTCAGGCAATGTTATTCTTCTCATACCTTAACAAATGGATTTTTTTGTGACCTGGGGACATCAAGTCTGTTCGTACACAAACCATGCAGATTTCAAATTGAATCATTTAAGAATTAGTTGACCCATTAACTCTTCATTCACACTCTCTTTCTGTCTTCCTCAGGCCCTGGTTATTTATGCCCTTGGAGTTGTACTTCAGGATGACACATCATGGCACTTGCCTTACAGGTATCTTCAAATTCTTATTTTTCCAGGTTACTTTATATTGTTGATTCTTTGTCCTCAACATGGTGACGGTTAGTAGCAGCAGGGAATTCAACTGCTTCCTTGTCGTCAGAAGCCAGTCCAAGGGCAGGTACCATATGGATTAGCGACGGAACAAAGCTTGCGTTACATCAGTTCCTCCAAAGCTTTTGTCGGCTGTGACCTCATTTTAATGCTTTTAAATTGACATGAGTACAGTGACAGGAGAAAGAGTGGTAGTTGTGAGACGGTAGTCACAAACCCATTTTGAATGTTCTTACCTTAGCCTGAATTGATCCTCATAGCTTGTCTCATTCCTGCTGCTCACCGTCTCCCTTCCATTTCCCAACTGCCCCTTTCAACTCGCCACTTCCTTGTCACAAAACCTTGCTGTGAATGAGGACACAGGAGAGAGCTGGAGAGGTGGTAAACAACGATTGGGTCATTGGAAAGGCAGGAGGTGCCAGGAACGCAGTAAATGCTGGATAAAACTCAGAGCAGTAGAATGGAGATCGGCTCTATCAGATCTTGCAGTAATGAGTCACACTGTTGCTGCAGAGCACGGTGGGAAGTTGTAGTTCTATCAAAGTGGCTAATTGCAAGAGTTCCATCAGGTCTTGACTTTATTTCTACAGTGTTCATTGCTGCCTCAGAGAAAAGGGAGCTCACAATTCTAATTGCTTGTCGTGCAACCCACAGCTGCAGACTCATCCATCAAACACTTCCAGGCCAGGTAAAATGGGGTTAGATAGAGAAAAAAGCTTGTCTGCACTGTCTGTCAAACACTCGTAGGGCAGTCACAGCACATGATCAGTAAAGTTCCTTCTTCACCATCCTCATCAAAAACTCCCAGACCTGGTGCAACATGAGTAACGTTCCTTCCATTAGCGAAAGTGGCGTGCACAGCATTGGAGATATCCAACTCAAGTCAAATGGCTATGTTTTGGAGATAAGAGACAGAGAAAGGATAAGCAAGAGATATTCACATTGGCAGGTTGTGACAAGTAGTGTTCCTCAAGAATCTGTTCTGCAACTTTTCTCCAAATTTATTAATATTCATTAATGACAATTGTATATCCAATTGCAGACCATGTTTAATTAGGAGGAACAGTAAATAGTGCAGATTGGATTGAAAGTTGCAAAGAGGCCTAGATTAAGGGAATAGACAAAACTATTACAAATGGTGTTCATTGTGGTAAAGCATGAGGATGTTCATTTTGGATGGAAGGAAGATAAATCTGATTTTTTTCAAAATGCTCAGAAACTGGGGACTGCATTAGAGCAAAGAGAATTGGGGATCGAAATACACAAATCCTCAAAGGCCGTGAATACAGCAAAAAGGTCACGGAATCATAATGTTAAGGTGCTGGATTACAAAGGAGGCTCTGTTACGCTTCAATTGAGTCTAATCATGACCCATCTTGGTATAGTGCTCTGTTTTGGGCCCAAACATTAAGAAGGATGTTTTGATAATGTAGGCTGACCTGAATGATGCCTGGCCTTAGGTTAAGTTATTAGTTGGATTTGATAGGATGGTTACAGAGATTTCAATTTCTTTGCTGAGGAACGTGGGGACGCACTCTTAAAATTAGAACTCGGCTATTCAGGAATGAAAACAGGAAGCACTTCACACAAGGAATTGTAGAAATCTGGAATTCTCTCCCCCAAAAGGAAAACAGAACAATTAGAGCTATTAAGATTGAGAGTAAGAGATTTTTGTTGGGTCAGGATATCAAGAGATACAGAACAATGGAAGAGGTGAGCTGGAAATCAAACATGATCTAACTGATGGTAGAGCAAGTTCAAGAGGTTGAATGACCTCCTGTTGACCCTAGGTAAAGCGTTAAACTTGTTCACAGTAGCTAACCAATACACTTCCAGTTTGTGCTGCGTTTGAACACAAGGGTACCATCATCCAGCCTACTCTGGCAATTCACCTGCATACCGATTTTCAAAGAATTTGGTTTTGTGACCATTGACTTTGGAGGGGTTTTACTTTGACATTTATCTCTGTCCTGAAATGCGTTATTCTTTTTCAAAAACTCTCTTCAAATTCCTTTCGTTCCCTCCACATCTGTTTTTTCATTGAACAAGATACAATTGAATACATTTATGCCATGTTAAACTGTACTGCTGTCCTTCATATTCAGCTCCAGTTATACAAAAGAATGCTATGTGTACACATATGTAACAGTCTGTGTCTGCCTCTCCATCTTCAATTATCAATTATATTTAGGAGCAGTCAAATCTGAATTTGGGCTGTACCCAGCTTTGCACTGCAGAGTGGATGACAATGCTGGAAACTATTCCAACTGGAGATCTGTTTTAACAAAGACACTTCTCTCCTTATCTTGCAGGTTTGATCCAGAAAGGTTCAACGATGAAACTGCCAGGAAGCAGTTTACATTGCTGGGATTTTCCGGGAGCCAGGAATGCCCAGAGTTGAGGTAAAACAATAAACCCCTGTGGGAAAACTAGAATTTTCTAGCACAGTTAAATAATAAGGGGTCTCCCATTTACAACAACAGAGGAATTTCTTCTCTCAAAGAATCATTAGTCTTTGGATTGGAATTCTCTTCCCCAATTGAGGAAAGGAGGCTGTTTGTTGAAGACTGATTATCCAAGACTGAGTTAAATGGGCATTGATTGACATGAGTGTCAAGGGCTATGGAGAAGAGGCAGACAAGTGGACTTAAGGCCATAATCAGATCGCCATGATCCTGTTGAATGGCAGAACAGGTTCAATAGTCTGAATGGTCTTCTGTTGCTATTCCTTATGTAAAGTAGTAAGGTGCTCCAAAGGCGAAAGATTTCAGTTGTAAATTTTAACCCCCTCCAATATCCTCAGAAGACTCAGAATAGAAATGGATCTAGTTTGACCAAATTCATTATGAAAGAGGAAGTGGTTTGATTCTCCTGAGGCTTCCTGTCAGACTTCTGTGTCTGAAAACAGAGTGTTTTCAAGATTTATTTCAGTTGGAAATTTCTTCATCATGATGTTTGAGAGAGGAAATATGTATCTGGGTGCTGTGTTCCTAAAATATTTAAAGCCTGCTCATCAACTTTAGAATTATGTGAATGGGAACAATCAATTGTTGCCACCAAGTGTTTGCCAAGGAACAGTTTAGATTTGATTGTTATATCCCACGTCAAAAGGCCTGCCACTGTCCACTGGCTGGGCTCCTGGTGGAGAGTGTCTCGTCCTGTGAGGCACTGAAAGATAGACTAGTGCTCTGGAAACTCACACTCTGTTACCCAATGGCGATCGGCCACTGTTGGTTACCTTACTCCTCTCAGGGGTTCTTTATCCCTCTAGGCTAATACCCCACAGCTTGCTGAGTGTAAGAGCCCCGAAAATAAAACTACTGAAGAAAGATTTGAAAAGATCGGCATTTGCATCAGCACAAATTAATGAATATTTTCTAGAGCATCTAATCATCACATGAAACAGTTAAGGTTCATGGCAGAAATGCATTTATGCAGAAGCTGGATAAACACAACAGGGAAAAAGAATAGCTGATGAAATGAGATGAAAGAGGATGGGAGAATCTTGTGCAGAACTAGCATGGACAATTTGGACTGAAAGGCCCGTTTAAGTGCTTTAAAATGTGAATTTTATGTCAGTCTCAAGTTTGCAAATGTTGGACCTGTGTATGTTGAAGTTGAGAAGAATGAGTGTGATCTTATTGAAACATAAAGACTCTGAGGGAACTTGACAGGATGGATGCTGAGAGGGTGTTTCCCCTTGTGTCGGAGTGCAGAACTAGGGGGCGCAGTATAAAAGTAAGCAGTCACCATTTAATAATGAGATTCAGAGAATTTTTTTTTTCCTTGCAGTCGTTAGTCTGTAGAACCCTCTTCCCCAGAGAGCAGTGGAAGCAGGGCCGTTGAATCTTTTAAAATCCGAGTTTGATGGATTCTTACTAACAAAACAGCTGTCCTTTGAAAGAATGGGTCCTGTTCTCTCTTAGTTACCAATGTTGTCCTGATAAAGTGGACAGAAGAGGCACATATCTGAATTGGGGGAGGTTTTGACTAGTAAATGATCAGCTCATGGGCTCGGTGGTTTTTGTATGTTCGTTGTAATCCCTGATCTCAGGCTGTCCATGTCTCCCTTCCCTTTAGGTTCGCTTATACTGTGGCTACCATCATGCTGAGTACACTGATCAGGAAGCTGAGCTTGCATCCAGTGGCTGACCAGTTGGTGGAGATGAAGTATGACCTTGTAACCACCCCAAAAGAAGAGGCTTGGATCACTGTCAGTAAGCGAAACTAGACTGACTTCAGCAGCGCTGAGTATGGAGTTTATTGGATGGAGCCCAGTCAGTAAGAGGTTTGCAACGACTGTTCAGATCCACACCTGCCACTGTATCCTTCATTCTTTACAATAAGATTCCTGAGAGTTTCAGCTATTCTGCTCTTCCCCTACTTTTGAAAATATGAAGCTAACCTCAAAGTGGAAACTTCTCATCATTGCAAGCCTTCACTGCAGAACCTGTATCAGAGCTGAACCATTGTCTCATTTTAGTGACGATATGGAAATTCAGATGGCCATTCTTGATTGTCTTGAGAATCCCAGGTACATCCGCACGTTACATGCACTATGAGCTGCAAGCACCCCTTGGATAAAATGGGGAAGTGTTCAACCAACTAATTGACTGATTTGGGAGTGAGAGAAGAAACGAAGTGATGATAAAGTGAGATGAAATTATGGTGATCGTAATAGCATTGAACAATTTTGGATAAGTGTGTACACCTATATTTGGGATAATGGTTCTGTCATTTAGGCTTTTGGTGGGATTTTCTGTTGAGACTTGGGAACAAACCTTTCACATTCAGAGTTTGAGTTCCCCCACCACCAGCTGAGTCTGGATGGTGCTGCACTGCTCCTGGCCAGCATGATAGGAGAGAGTGCCCAGCTGTGTTAAGTAATGCTGTCCTCCTGCCCAGGATTAGCTCATGGAATAATTAGGCTGAGTTCCCACTCCTAATCACTGTCAAACATCTTATGTGGATTCCAACTGCGAGTAGAATCTGAATATCTTGCGGAGCACTATCAGTGAAAAATCTAATCTGACTCTTAGCCATCAGCATGGTTTGGAAAGGAAAGGGGAATGAGCCCTCTCTGTTAAACATTCTGTGGAGATTTGGTCCAGTTATCATGAATGAGGTCAAAATCAGTTGTTATCAGAATGCTCTGTGGTCATCATTTATCAATAAAATTGCTGAAAGGACATCACAAGGGAGTGTGTATCCACCTGTGTTTGCTGCTTCGATTTCATGTTATCAGTACATGCTTGGAGACTGTTTAGTCCTTTGACCTTGCCCTTAGGTAAGTTGTGATACTTCCTGGTCTAGTCCCAGCAGTTAATGACTTTCAGGCAGTGATTTTCCCTCAAGGATGACAGATTACGCCTGCAAGAAAGTTCTGGTCATATATCTTGGGTGAAGAAAAGGTCGATCTTGGCTGTGATGTCTCCCCACAGACCAGACCTAACAAAGACTGTGTGCTTGGCAAAGATTGTATAGGAGATACCGTCTCAGAGGGTGGGGGAGAATAGTCTGAGTGTGGGATAATGGCTTCTATCCCCTTTGCTCAAGATTGAGAACAATTAAGGGAAACTGTTTAATGCAAAGTTATTACCATCATACTTACATAAATTTTATTTTTAGATTACTTCCATAGTTTAAAAAATACTAAAATTGAAAGGATACAAAAGAGTTGAGAATGTGTAGGAAAAAGTCAAAGACAGCCTCCTTCCAGACCAGATCACCCACTGCTTGTATTTAAATTGGCATTGTCATTCCAGCTGGAGATTCAGTTCCCTTTTTATGCCATGTGAACACCAACATCAGTTCTTTATATATAATTTGAGACCATAATAAATAGTGAGGTCTAGGGAACCTGGATTGAGGTTGGAACTGAAAGTGGACAAAGGGTTGTGGGGGCAAAGTCTGTAAAATAATATAGATTAAGAAAAGGGAGTGTGGGAAGGAAGGAAGAGATCTCAAAATTTGAGCTGTGACACTATTCATAAATAATCTCAATGTGAGTCATGTGTGCATGTAACACTTAGTTAAACCTGCATGTGTTTTTGACAATGTGCTGAAATTTACTATTGATGCAGGCATAGGACTTAATTAATTTAATTAATTTTAATATCGCGGAATTAGCACTCAGACCCAACTTCCTAGTTCCTTTTTTAATTCCCTGAGCAGACAAAACTTTTGTCATTCTCCTGCCTCCTCCTCTCCCTCTCTCCCCTGCCCACCCAAACGCCTTCAATCAGAACTATATTCATTTCTGATAATCAGTGTTCTCATAGCAATGAGTACACCGGGGAAGTAAAATCACAACATACTAGAATTTCATATTGTGTTTGAGAACATAGAAGATAAGTCCAAAACTAGACCATTGAACCTAAATGAAGGCAATTAAACTGGTATTTGTAGGGAGAGGCAGCTAGGATACATAGGGAAGTTAGAATGACAGGTATTATGATGGTTTGCACAAGATGAACATTTAAATAATATTTTATTTTCAATTTGTATATTATCTTGCATTTACACAAGAAAAATTACATATGTGTCTAAATAAATACATTAAAGATGGTAGTAGATTAAAAGAAGAGGCACATAATAATGCTGAAAACAGTTGTAATTTGAAGATTGGAAATATTTGGAAAGCAACAACGGAGAACCAAAAATACAGAGAGAAAAGAGAATATGAGAACAAACTAGCAAGGAATATTATAAAAGTTTGTAAGAACTTCTAAAAGTATGTAACAAGGAAGAGATTAGCATGCATTCTTTAGCGGATAAAAGAGGAGCAATTATAATAAGGAATAAGAAAATGGTAGAGATGTTAATTAAAAATGTGCCAGTATTCGTGGTATCAGACAAAGTGGAAAAAACATAACAGAAATAGTATGGAACTGAGAGTTAAAGGCAGAACTTCCCATTTTTTTTCCCTGCGAGCCCAATTCAAGTTTTGAAATTATTCTGATCCATCGATAAGGCATGTGGGATAGTGGAATGGGGTTACCCGTGAAAGCAATGGCCTGTCTGTTAGAGCGGGAGCACAGCAGTTAGAGCTCCATAGCAACTATTGCTGCTTTAGAGCTCATATCCCAGAATTTCAGGTTGTAGCCCCACTTGGTGACCCAAACCCCATGTTGGGAAGCATGTATTTAATGAGAGTGAGAAACTTGTTATTATCGATATTAGTAATGAAATGGAACAAGGGAAATTAATGAGAGCAATAACTGGAAAAATCCCCTAGACCCGATGATCTACATCCTAAGGTGAAAGGGAGGTGGCTGATGAGATAATAAATAGACGAGGAAAAATATTTTTTACAGTGATGGGTTAGTATCTGGTGTACACAGCTTGAGATAGTGAAGACAGGTTTAATCAATCAATAGGTACCCGAATGAAAAAAAATTTGCAGGGCTACGGTGAAAGGCAGAGGAATAGGATTAGCTGAATTCATTTGAAAAAAGCCAGTGTGGAAATGATAAGTCAAAGAGCCTCCTTTGGTACAACAACCATTCTATGATTTTGTGAAACATTCTGACTATAAATGATTTGATGTGAGCATAGGAGGTATGTTTAGTAAGTTTGCAGATGACACCAAAATTGGAGGTGTAATGGACAGCGAAGAAGGTTACCTCCGAGTACAACAAGATCTTGATCTGATGGACCAATGGGTCAAGGAGTGACAGATGGAGTTTAATTTAGATAAATGTGAGGTGCTACATTTTGGAAAGACAAATCAGGTCAGGACTTGTCCTGGGGAATGTTGCTGAACAAAGATACCTTGGACTGCAGGTTCATAGTTCCTTGAAAGTGGAGTTGCAGGTAGATAGGATAGCGAAGAAGGCATTTGATATGCTTGCCTATTTCTAATGGTCTCGTTCTTTCTGTCCCCCCGCCACCCAAACGTGTACACAGGGAATAATTAATTGTAGCAGGAATGAAAAGGATCATTTTCAACCGGTCATGTACTAACCAAACACCTAGAACAATGCAGAAAGAATTGCAAGAAAATTATCAAAATTAAGCAGCAGAATGAGAAGTTAATATCAGCTTTTTCACAAGAGGCACTGTAATTATATAAAGCTCATCAAGTGTAAGAAAAAAAAGATATTGAAGAAGAAAGAGAAAATAGAAGTCTAAAAGACCATTATCCAAACCTTTATCATTCCAGGTTTGGATGAAGATATGGACTTTGCCCAATATTCTCATGAGGCTGAGAACATGATGGTGTGTTACAGGTCAGTAGAGAGTGAGAGTTGCTGTGGCAACATGCACTGTTACATTCATGTTGCTCTCTGGAGCAATGGATAGTGATGGTAGAAGTTCCAATTTTCTTTCTTATCACAGGACTCTTTTACACCCTTACCAGCTTCCATTAATGTGTGTTGGAAGGATTTGCAAATTGATACTCAACCTGTTTGGATGCATTACAAGCACACCTTCCCAGGCATCAAGTCCTCCAGTGGGACAGAAACTTGGAGGTTCTGGCTCAGGGAAGGGATGCATTGACAATGCCACAAAAGCTACCCTGAAACATGCACTATGAGCGTAAGGTTTTTTTTCCCCCTCTATTTCCTCTGATACTTAACATAAGAGCCAATGATGTTGGCGGTCGTATAAAAGCATGGATAAAGGATTGGGTAACTTTAAAAGACAGCGAGTTGGGATGGGAGCGTGCATTTTCAGGATGACAACCTGTAACTAGTGGAATACCACAGGGATCAATGGTGGAGCCACAGTAATATACACACGCACGTTAATGACATGGATAAAGAATGTAGTGCACTATTGCCTAGTTTGTGGATGACACAAAAGTAGGTGGGAAGGCAAATGGCAAGGATGACAGAGTCTAAAGAGTGTTATGGACAGGTTAAATAGGTGGGTAAATAGTTTGCAAATGGAATCTAATGTGGGGACATGTAAAATTATGGACTTTGGCAGGAAGAATAGAGGAACTGAATATTTTTTAAATAGCAAAAGATTGCAGAAGGCTACAGCACAAACGGATTTTGGAGTTCTTGTGCATAAAACTCAAAAAGCTAATAGGCAATAGCGAAGGCATTTGGAATGTTGGCCTTTACTTCAAAGGGCATGTAACATAAAAATAGGGAAATAGGATAAACTATACAAGACACCAATCAGAACCACAGCTGGAATGGTGTCAGGTTTTGAGTCCTTTACCTAAAGAAAGATATGCTGGAACTGGATTCAGTCCAGACAAGGTTCACTAGGCTGATCCTGAGTATGGAGGGATGAGGAGAGGTTGAGTAGGCTGGGATTGTATTCATTGGAGTTTAGAAGAAAGATTGATACTTCCACAAAGGGAAACAAGTACCGGAGGGCATAATCTTCCAGCCTTGCTTATAGTTTTAAGACGAAGACGAGGAGGAAGTTCTCTCAGTGGGTAGTGAATCTGTAGAATACTTTACCACCTAGGGCTATAGGAGACAGGTTGTTAAGTATATTAAAGGCTGAGATAGATTTTTAATTAGTAATGGAATTGAGTGTTATGTGCAAAAGGCAGGAAAGTTGAGTTATTGATTATCAGATCAGCCATGATTTCATTGAATGGCAGAGCAGACTCAGTGGGCTCCTCTTCTATCTTATGGTCTTATATTGGGGAAAAAGTTATGATTGAATTGTCCTGCTTTGCAGGTCAGAATACTTTAATGCTCACACCAAAGAATAAATAAAATGGGGGTTTTGTCTGAAATGTTGGTGTGTCTTTTACTTGCCTGACACAAGGCTGGGAACCATTACTTTTCCCTCAAAATGAGTTCAAACAAACTAAAATCCTGTCTTCCCCAACAGAATCATGTTACACACTGATGGGTAGCAGCATGGATAATATAATCAATCAATTAATGGTTGTTGAAGATTCTGTCAGATTTTCAATTCCAAAGGATGCAAGTTTTTCGATTTTTAGGACCCTTTGAATTTTTAATTATGAAGCGTACCTGCTGAGCTGTCATTTAAACTAACAAGTTTAGAAACTAAGGGAAAATGGAGTGTTTTCATTGGTGATCTTTGAAAATTGATCTCATGCATTATAAAAAGTGAAAGATGACTAGGTCTTTATCATTTCTTTACAAGAAATTGTACTTGCTTCCTTGGGGGAAAAAAAAATCAAACCCATGACTACCCAGAGACCTAGATCTCTGCAAACTTTGTAATAGGTGACATATTATAGCTGTAATAACATTA